GTATCAGATTCGTATCAGATAAAATGGTTGCCCCATTCCTTAGGGGTTTAAAACATAGGAACCTAAAAATTGAGAAAAGAAATTTTAAAATACAATCATGTATATATCCTGGGCTGGAGAGTACTCCTTCCCAAGGATTTAAAATTTAAGATTTTTAGCCTGCCATAGTACCTTAATGTAAATTAATGGGCAATGTAAATGACCAGATGCTCGCTCGTCTCACAGTACTAAAGAAATAATTCAAGCATATGCGCTGGCCAGAGGCAGGAAATACTACCAGCTGCTAAATCACATTTCGCAAGGGTAATACTGGAAAATCAGAATTATACTTTACCTCCTCTAGCACGGTTAAAATTTCATCATTATCCCCATCAAAGGCAGCTTCAAGAATTCTACTTTTTCTTTTTGCCTCTTCTTTTCTTTTTCTTCTCTCTTCTTCCTCTTTCTTTCGCTCACGCTCTGCTTCTTCTCGTTCCATCTGCACTAGCTTTAGCCAAGCCTGCCATCAATATCAAAATTAAAACATAATAATTATAACAATTTAGTATAATACTTACTTCAGTGCATTTTTTTACTGTTAATTAATAAAATATAGAGAACCAAATTATAATGCTTTATTGCACAGCCTTAAGGGTATCATCCTCTGACAACTTGCAATGCTGGAGAGATTAGTGACCGCTACATGCAATGGGGTTCAAACAGACAAATGCTGGATTTCAGTAAAGCTTCACTATAAGCAAGACCAACAATAAAGCCAAGACCTGGGGCCCGTTTCTCGAAAGTCCCTGTACCTTTACGGGCCCGAAATCAAATATTCAAATCGAAATATAAAGAATAAGAGCACGGGTCCTGGCTAGCAAACTACTCCATTTTGTTTCATTAACTGACAGTTTTACCGTGTTAGATGCAAAACTATTGAAACCTCTATCTTTAATGTAAACGGAGACAGCTTACCGGGCCCGTTAATTATCGGGACTTTTGAGAAACGGGCCCAAGGGCCTGAAATAAAATTTCCTTCCAACAAGCTGTTGTCAATTGTTTCATCCATGCCAACAACAAAATTAGAATTTAATCTGTTTTAAAAGGTAATTCAATTACCACATCAGAGCAATGCTTTATCATTCAATTTCCTACATCCATTTCACATTTTGAAAACTTGTAGACAAAGAAATGTAAATTTAGCACTTCAAAAGGAGCTCACTTTTTTTTTTTTTTGGTAAGATGTTGCTTTGCTCAAGCTACTTATTAAGCTGGCTAGTTTTGTTTGAATGACACCAGGTTGAAACTTTTGAGAAACACAAAGTTTTAATCATGTTGGATAACCACAATCATTACTGATTAACTGATCAATATACTGTCAATTACTTATAGAATGAAATGTCAGCCAACCTCCTTTTGAATCTTGTCCATTAACTCTTCATAGTCCTGCTTCTCTTTTCTCCTTTTTTCTAGCTCTTTTTTAGCCAGATGACGTCTGGCATATTTCTGTATGACAACAGCAGATTCATCCTGTTTTGTCCATTTCTTGCCTTTAGCCTTTTAAAAATATGAAGGTTGTTTGTCAAAAAAAGTAAAGAGATAAGCCTAATTTTTACAAAATTACATTGAAATTAACAACTGGGTTGCAGGTATGCCAACTCTCCCAGATATAGCACAAGTTTCCTTCTCTCTCAAATGGATCACCAAATCTACAGGATAACATTGCATATTGACTTTTTCTGTGTTTTAGTTCTGAATAATTGCAGACAATTTTCCCAAAATTTTAAAATGATTTGGATCATTCATGTAGTGAGGTTTCTGCTGTGACATTTTTGCAGGTACATGTTTCTCATCACTGACAAGACACTTATGTTTGACACCAGTCTGTACCTCATTTAAGACTCTCTATGATGTCCTCGCCACATCCATGTCATAATGAATGGGATGATTGTGCTCATGAGGGTGGGCCTGGTTGGGGGGCGGGAGCAGGGGGTTCTGCTCTCAGTTGATAAAATTTCAATTTTTTCAAGAAAATTAGGCCAATCTCATACACTCATGGTGCACAACCTGCCTTGTAACCTGGAATCAGGTATTCCTTTTTATATACAATGAGCATATTAGGGCTCAAAATTAGGGAGAGAGGTTGGGAGAATTCGAGACAGTTAATTGTGCAAACCTGAGATGAAGTCCAGGGTTTGCATAACTGTCTTGAATTCTCCCAACCCCTCTTGGGTTTATATCAGGCTATGCAAACACGGAAAACGTTTTCTATTGCTTAAATAGACCCCGCTAATGACGTTAAATGCTGATATCAAAAGTTACCATGGAAACAAAAGGGGCAGATTTGTACTGGGACCATTTTCAAGTACCTGAGGCGCTGCGGAGGTCTCCTTTCCTTTGGATTGTCCTTTAGTAGGCGATGTACCACCTTTCTTTGCTGTAGCCCCGGCCTTCACGCCGCTAGCCCCTGGTTTGGCAGCTGTCGTGCTTGGCTTCTTCGTCCCCTGCACGGGTTTAGTGGTAGACCTTGCTGCAGACCTTTGTGTTGTAGTTTTAGGAGCTGTTTTTGCTGCAGGCGATGCCTTTTTTGGAGGCATTTTTTGCTAAATGAATCTTATACGCTGTGATGGACCCAAACAGATCCAAACAAAGCTCTTTTTACATTTTCACAAGGACTCTAACTTTGACGCCATGTCCGCCATATTGGTTATCACACGTATGTTAGTTCCCAGCACTGCGCGTTCAGTTTCGTCAATTGACTTCTTCTCATCTGACCGATCAAGATGTCGGAAAGTAGCTCCGGAGTAATATTCATTAATCCTATGCAAAGCGATATTATAAAGCATAGTAATGGAAGCATAACATTTAATGGTAAGGACGAAACAGATTTAGCTCCTTCAAGGCACCGTCCAACGAAAAAGTACCAACAGACTGAGTCGCAAAGAGTAAATCCTACCCAAGTCGAAATTATGAGACATAGCAATGGAACTATAACACCTAATGATAGTCATTATTCAGACGAAACAGATGTAGCTGCTTCCAGAGAGCCTTCAACTAAAAAGCATCACCAAAGTGAGCCGCAAAGGGTTCATATAATATGGGATCTTTTCGCTGCTGCGTCCGTTTTGACTTTCCTCGCTGACATTTCTTCAGATATAGCGGTGTCTGTTCTTTATTGCATCGACGGTTCTTATTTATGGTTTTCATTGACAATAGGATTTGTTATTTTGTCGTCGATTGTTATGCAAGTTTTTTCTGCGAAGTGGTTTTACGAAGACGATGAAGAGCTGACTTGGGGAACATATTTATTGCATATTTTTCAGTTGGGTCCTCTTATGAGGTGAGCATAAGTTTCTAATGCACGGGAAATTGTTAAAATATTTATAGAGTCTGGATCATTCTTGGTAAGAAAAAGACAAGGAGAGAGAATGTTCATTGTGCTTTACTTTTTTTGTATATATAGTATACTTTTTGCAGGAAAAATGCGTTCTCAGTTAAAACCAGAATTTCCTTACTGAAAATGTTGTTTCCTCGATCACTGAAAATGATTTGGGACAGGAAACGAAGGAAATTCTGAATTCAAAATAGCTTGGAAACTGGTTTAACCTGAAAGTGGATTTCACCAGATTACTGTAATATCATGGGTGATGAATTTCTTTCAAAACTTCAGAGTTAATTGAAAATTTCACACATGAAATTTCAAAATGTCATGGCAACCTTCCATATTTCTCAGTGCCCGAGAAAAAGGTTTTTTCAAATGTTATGAATGAAGATGTCAAGGCATTAAAAGATTCTGTAGAAAACCTAAGTACATGAGCGCATCAAGAAGGATTCTAACAGGTTTTTTGCCCCTTACCCTTTTTTATACCATTTTTTACGAAAAAGGTAACACTTTCATATACCTTCTATTGACAAATGGTACCCCTTCCACATACCTTGTTTATAACCTTTCACTCTGTTTTAAATAGGAATCAATCACAAAAATAGCATGTTTTTTTTTACTTTATAAAGCCCTAAAATTCATCTGTTAGCCCTTTGGGTCCTTTCACAGACCCAAATGACAGATTTCCCTACCCTTTCATATACCTGAGGCCTGGAAAAAGATAGCCCTTTCGGTCGTACCCTCCCCATATAGGCCACCTAGGGAGTAACCCCCACTTCCCCGGGGTTGGAAGATGTAGCATAAAGCAAAGTGCAAAGTGAAAACAGCACCTAAAACAAAACTTAGTGGCAACACTTATTAGTTTCTACATGTATTTCAAAAATCTTGTTTTTTAGGTTTTGGCGTGTCATAAAAGCTGGACGGCGTACTCGTCAAAAAAACTCAAATGATAGCGATTATGAGGCATACCTAGCTGAATGGAGAGACATTTGCATGTTGAGACTGTTTGAATGCTTCTTAGAATCAGCACCTCAGCTGGTCCTTCAGCTTTATATCATGGCTTACAACAGAAGATTTGAGATTGAAAGTGATCTCTTCACAGCCCTTGCAGCTGGTAGTTCATTAGTGTCACTTGGATGGGCAATTGTAGCATATACCAAAGCACTCAGAGATTTCTTAGGAAAAGGAGATGGTGGCATGTCGTGGATTGGGTTTTTTTTACAGACTGTATGGCGCATGTCTATGATTGCATCTCGAGTTGTGGCATTGGTGTTGTTTGCCTCTTACTACACCATCTGGTTGTTTGTTGCCATGGCAGCACACTGGATTATGATGACATCTTGGCTTTTTTGTCAAAAGACTAGCTTTTGTGTAGACGAATATGGGAGGAAACATTGTTGCCGAGAGTATTTGTTTAACACAGTGATTGGCTTTGTTTACATCTTTTGTTTTTTCAATATCAAGGCAGGCATGACACGCATTCGCGTTATCCCATACTATGTGATCATGCTAACTGAGAACACAGTGTTCATTGTAATGTGGTACCCATATAGAACACTTTATGGTGAAATTGAGGCTGCCTCACTTAGCATTGTTTGGGGTGGTTTTGCACTTGGTTGCATTTGCATGGTGTCCTATTACCGCTTTTATCATCCAAGTATCCCAGTGAAAGGAATATGTGTCCGACAAAGACAGCTGGAAATGGAAAGTAACGAACCTGCCACAATTTATTGGTGTTGTTGTTGTGAAATTCAAACCAAATGTGCAAGTGGAGAAGAAAATGAAAATAGGTCTTCCTTTGCTATTCGTGAAAGACCTTATTATGATCCAAGAAGAAACATGCCGGCCTCTGCACAGGCACATGGAAGGTTACCAATGGATGTTGATATTTTGCCACACAGAAAGCCAAGGGAAAGTGCATTCAGTTCTTTAAGGAGTGCAGCAAATCAGCCAGCAAGTAGTAATGGCATTGTTCATGGCATTCGGTTAATGTACAGACAATCTGAGTGGTTGTAGAAATACATAAAGTTAATATGTTAAGTTAAGTCTTAGGGGCCAAGTATATTTTAAATTTATTATTTTTGCTTTTTAACAACCATGCTTACACATCTCTTAATACAGTCAACCCTCCTTATAGTGGACACTGTAGGGACCTTGAGTTAGTGTCCTCATTAGCAAGTGTCAGTGATAGGGGGAGGTTTATTTCAGTTAAACATCTGTTATTTGTTTTCACCTGGGATTTAGCTTCGAACAGCTGTTCATATTATCAAGATGTTTGTTGTAGCAAGGTGTCCTCAAGGTGAGAGTTGACTGTAATAACAGAAGCATAATGCAAAAAGTTTGTATGGGAAATAAATTGTGATATAAAAAAGTACATTTCACCCAGGTGAAAACTCAACAAATTTATTTTGTGTGAATGCATTTTCACACATAAAATAATTATAGTTTTTTAAGCCTAAGAATATATCTGGACTTTCAGGAAAACTCCCTGATCTGAAATTTTATCATATTTTGAATTCAGTTGGTGTGAAATTCTATCATAATACATTATTTGAATTGAATTGGCATGTAATTCTATTATATTTCGAATTGAATTGGCATGAAATTTGATCACATTTTGAACTCAATTTTTTGGCCTGTGTTCAGGTAATTAGTTCTTTCAAAGTAATATAATGATATTGTTGACAACCTATGATAAAACAAACACTAGAAATCAGCAAGATACTATTAGTATTCTAGAGGATTACCATTTGCCACTTGCTACCCAGGACTATTTCAGTTATAGTTTCAAAGTTATTTATATCAATAAATGGATAGCAAACTGGATGGAATTTTTTTAAGCATTCATTACTGAATGCAGTATGTTAGTTGTTTAAAATATTGCGTTTTAAGTTAGCATTATTGAGCTGCACAAATTTGCTTTATTTATATGCATTTTTGGGCAAATGGCTTGGTCGAATGAGGTTATTGGTGTGTTGGATTGTCAGGTGAATAGTGAATAATTTCACTTGAGGAATATTTACAAAACTATTTTTGATAATTTTGTAGATATTTTTTTTTATTTATACAATACTGGTTTATTCATGATGTTTAACAATAAACAAAAGTGTATAAATATACAAGAACAAGAAGATAAGAAAATAAAAATAAAATAGATCATAAAAAGGAAACATGAGGTCTACACTATAACCTTTTTACAAAAGGATAAAAATACTTAAATAATTATTATTACCTATCACTATTTACATATTTACATATTAAAAAAAGACGTTAACCTCCCTTTAAACAGTTAAAAAGATTCTGCTTCACACATACTGCAGTAAATTATTCCATTCTTTCACTATGCGAATAAAGAATGAATATTTTATAGGGTGTTAAGCCTTGCATTTTTCACGTCTAATTTAAAAGAGTGGTTAGCTTGTGTCCTTTTATCTAGAGTGAGTTATTTAAGCCAAAAACACTTTTATAGCATTCTAAAGGTTAAATGAAGTGTCTTGCTTCTCCAAGGTGGGCCAGCTCAAGTTTAGTATTTATTTTCTAGTAGAGGTAGAGAAATTTAGATTGTTCAGCATTTGCACATTGCACTGTCAAAGGAGATCTCTGCAAAAATGCCATGCACATGTATGCCTTGTCGATGAGGACAGGAAAATAATCTTTCATGGTTTAGAAAAAGTTAGCGGACAGGTGTTTTCAAATGGAAACAAATGTTTGTTAGTGTACTAACAAAATCAAGTGAATAAAATGATTACTTGAAAAAATAAGCCAATAAATGTTGCCACTTTAATAGTACCAGTTGTGTCGAGTCAAATTCAAATTTGCATCCATGCATGTGTAAGAAGCAGTGAATTTCAGACTTAAACTTCTCAGTATTTGGTACAATATTGAATGATCTTTCAGATTTATGATTGGATAGAATTCCTATGTTTCAGAAATTACCTATGATAAATTAGATTATTGTATCAGACAATATTTCAAATTCTAGAAGAAACTTAAGTTGGCAAAATTGTTTAAAATTACTTTGTTTGTTGAATTCACTACTCATTGTGCATGCCAGATACAGATTATAAATCCCATATCAGCAACTGACTTGTCCAATCGTCTTTGCATGTAGCGTGCATAGCAGGAGTAGGCGCGCCACTAGGGAGAAGTTGTAAGAGATGACTGGGGACGAGTCAGTATCAGTAACAACTACTGGGGTAGCCACCTGTACTCCATATGCATGTGCGTACCTGAAAAAAGTCCAAATGAATGAAAACTAAATGAAATTTTTAAAATGCAAAACTTTGATGGTTGTGTTGCACATGTAATTCTGCCTTGACTTCTGCAATATGATTTATCGAGGCAAAATACAGTGTTTTCCCTACGCGCATATGCCCTATATGTAACTAGTGCCAAAGGAGATGATACTCTCACCCGCATGGAAATGATTTTGGAAGAAGGAAAAGGGTTGTCCCTGGTAATAGATTAATTACTGAGTATGACTGTAATAAAGTTACATAGAAACCACTCAAATGACAACTAATGAACTAGTAGCCTGCGTAGCAGGCGTCGAAGGGGATAAGGGATAGGGAGGAAGGGAAAAAGGGGAGCGGTGGAAGCATCAGAAGCGTTTCAAACAAGATGACTAATAAATTCTTCAGGTTTAGTTAATTAGCAGCAAAATTAGTCTTATTTTATACTTTTTTTTCAATTATGGATCGCCCCATGTAAGGAAATCTAAGACAGTCTTAGATCCTAGATTCCACACGGGGGATTCCGAATTCCAATTACCGGGATTCCAGTCTTTCTCAGTGGAGCTTGTGGATTCCTTGAGCTGTATTCTGGATTCCATAAGTAAAATTCTACCGGAATGCGGATTCCCCTACATGGGGCGATCGGGATTCCCAATTGTTCATTTGTGGTTAAGAAGTCGTAATTATTCATCCTAACTGCACATCCTTGTCGCATCACGGTAAACTAAGTTATAGAAGGAATCCGCTCCTAGCCCACGACAATCGTTATGCTAGGCACAAGAAACCCTGACCGAACCATTCAGCCAAGAAGACACCACACCGCAGCTGAAAACGCTAAAACCCTCTATTAAACATTTACCCCTTTCATTACTCGGAACCCCTTATACCCATGAGAAGTACCCTGACCGATACGCAGTGCAGAACGGTTGACCTTGAACTTTACATCGCCATTGGGGGGTCCGGGGACGATCAGAATCAATCGCCTGCTCCCTGGAGATCTCCCTTGAAATGGGTAAAAAAAATTGCTCGACCTTTACTCCTTATGAATGATATAATCGGCTCCTGATGATAGCCGTGAATACGAACCCATAAGTAGACATCACTTCTTCTTATAACAAATCACCCAATGAACTGAACCAGCCGGAAACTCATATTCAGGTTACGAAAACGAAGATTGTACAAAACTCAAAGAGTCGGATCCAGTTTAGCCATATCAGGGAGGGGGAAGCGAAGGGGCCAAAGAAAAGTTGAGCTCCCTCGACAATGCTACACGAGGAGGACTCATCACCGGCCTTGTGCAGGCTCCAAATGCAACCCCCCCCCCCCCCCCCCCCCCCCCCCCCCCCCCC